GAGTTCTGTCACCACACAGGGCTGCAGCTCTGTGTGCAAACACAGAATGGCAAGCAGCCACTTCCGCAGCGTAAGTAATGACTCCAGAATGTAAGAAATGTTCCAGCAAGCTCAATAAAGGAACACATAAAGCAAAACTCACCTTTTGAAGCTTTTTGTGCTTCCGTGTGGGTCTCTACTGCCTCTACAAACACTCACATGAATAAACACTAGTCTTTTTGTTTTCTGTTCGTGAGTGGTTTCTGAAATTTTGCATTTAAAATTAGCATTTAAAAAGGTCCCCGTTTGTGACATCACAAACAGAGAAATTAGCATAGGACCAGCTCTCACATACAAAAGAGAGCTGCTGCTGGAGAAGCAGTTGCTCTCCTCGGAGCTTCTCAGCTTATAGCAGCTTGAGCTTGGAGGTGAGTGGGCATGGCCAGCTCCAGCTCATTTTTTAAAGTGACAGAGCCTGGAAAAGGCTCGTTCTGGAAGATACTGAAAATATTGAGAATAAAACAGAGGAGCTCGTTTCACGTGAGAGAGATTTTGTCCGAAGATCTTTTTTTTAATCAACCAAAGAACTATTTTAACTCCAGGGAAAAAGTCATAATAGATCTCCTTTAAAAGTCTCATTAACTTTTTCCCATTAATTGGGATTTATATTGTTTTTAAAAATTTCATTTCTTCATCCGATGTTTTGCGTTGAGCCAGTAATGTGAAAAAAGTAAAGATGGATGCAAAATCCTTCAAACTGAAAGCAAACAGAGCAAAAATCTTCCCTCCGTCTCTACTTCTGCTCCTCCTCAGTTTGCTATTAAAGGATGAAGGTATCCTGGTAAAACTACTTTGAAGATTAAGGTATTGAACAGAGTACAATCCTCAAGAAGCAATCAAAAAAGGCACAGCTGGACCTCTGCTGCTTTTTAACTTCAGCTTTTGATGTTTGTGCACCGAGGCTGCACGAGGACTGTACACAGAGCCCGGGAACTTCAGGGAGGAGTTTAAGCAGCGCACTTTCATCAGAACAGAAAGATATTTAACATCCCTGCTCACTCCTTTTCCAGTTTATTATCACAGAATAATTCCAATAAACGAGCAACAAACTAATGTCTACAAGCTTCTCCCAAACCGACTTCATCGCTGTGCTACTATACGGTTATGCTAATGTTTTCATTTCCTGGGGAAAGGTGCGACTGCAGGTGATGACAGCGCGCCAGACAAAAGTGTTGTTGATGCCGTGGCAACGCCATCACTACCTCCCCCTTCCCCTCTCTCCTACCTGAACGTGTGAATAACAGGATTAGTTTGTGCTGATGAATGGAGAGAAGAATGCAATTAGGCCATTTACGGTGATATATAGTGACATGCTATTTCACACAGCTGCTAGAACATAACGTCTGATTAACACGATCATATTATCACTTATTATGAAAGTTTAATCATGAAAAATACACTTTAGATTTCCGTAATGTAAACAAAAACCTTTCCATTTCTACCATAATAGTTTTTATGTCTGCATAATAATTTTATTTTTTGTTCTAGTGATGCTCATGGATGTGGTTACCAGGGTTACCATCTCTAGTGGCCTGCATTTTCAGATTATGGTGCCCCGTAATGTTGGCTTCATGTTGCCATAGCAAATTTCTCTTCCACACTGTACACTGTATCAGGGGGCTTAGTGGGCTAATGCTCCTCAGTGCTGCAACACTAAGACAGTTAATTAGGGTTTATGGAAAAATCAATACTGTGACTGGTTCTAGCGAGAGTCTCCCATTTTTAACATCATGTTGATTTTATTTTCACCATTAGAATTAGACAACGGTCAACCAGATTCAACACGAATGCAGTTTGTGACAGAACATGAAGCAAAAGCCACAAAATAGGAAGGATTGCCTTTCATTTTGATTCAAACTAACCTGGTTAAACCAAAATGTCATTCATTCAAGGAGCAGAACGAGCTTAACAAGACAAGCAGAGTAACAGAAAATGGGATTGTACAAAACATTTTGTGAAATTGTATTCAGGGCGCCGTGTTCTCTCCTGAAGAGATGACAAAGCAATGGTGTAAAAACCTTCCTGCAGCCCTTTTGGTGTGTTTAGACTCTGAAAAGAGGCTGTGAAGCAAACTAGAGCATAGCAGTTTTTACTTTATGTAAAGGAGTTAATTTACATCTAATTAAGGAACCGTAAAACATAGGGTTCCATAGTAAATATGAAATCAATCTTACGGACCGCTGGGTTATTTTAACCAGAAGACTGGAACTTTTTATTGCAGGGATTATGTAACGCTTGTATTAACTGAGAGACAAGAGAAGAGCGAGTCACCTTTAAAACGTTTAAGAAGATTTATTTCTAAACAATTTTTTAAACAAGACTTACTCTAAGTCTAAGTGATGGATGGATCTGGTGTGAATGAGACGTGAGATGAATGGTGTGTGTGTGAGTGATGTTGTAATCAGAACTCTCGTATCCGGAGAAGCAAGTCTGAATGATGTTGTGATGTTTTGCTTTTAGCTACGATCAGAGTTTGATCGGAGATTCATAAACACATTCGACGCCATTCTGTCGGTCTACCTACCCTGGTGGAAGTCCCCGTTAGATCAGGAATGTCGAGGTCCAGCTGGACCCTCTCTGGAACCGAAGCCAGTAGGAAAAGCAGCGGTTGCTGACAGACCAGTCTTTGAGATACTTCCGGGTCACGATGGTTTTGTTGGCATCTAGCGAGACCCAAAACTGGGTCATGATGGTTCAGCTTTTATTCTGAAAGGAACCGTTGCAGCAGGTGGAACAGCAACAGATTTTATCCAGCTTGTCGTTGGTTCTTTTGGCTGAAGAGGAAAGTTACAGATGGGCCACTCCGACAACTTCTCTAGAACACTTTGAACTGGCGTTAAAGATGGCGTGGGCATAGTTTTATACTTCGGATGTTTTGGTTTATGGTCGAATGAAAAGATGACAGATTTACCAAACACCACCAAAACCACGCCTCCTTCAGATCTGGCAGATTCTGATTGGATCAGTAAAGTAATGTGTCATGTCTTAACGCTACGTGAGATCAGTCCTAGTGGAAACAATTAAAGTCATATTACTTATTATATTCTGTAGGATTATAATAAAGTCATTAATATTTTGAGTTCACAGATTGGTCACATCTTATTATTGACTAACACTTTGCTTGATTAGCTTTATTAAAATAGAGTTCTTTGATTTATTAAAAGGAGAGAGAGGTTGATTTCATATTTACTATGGAATCCTATGTCTTTTTATGGCTTATTAAATAACGTGTAATTTAACTCATTACATCTACAAAAAATGGAAAATGACTGGATTGGACTGAAAATTTAACTCTTTAATGTACACATCAAGAATAAGCAATGATTTGGAGCAATAAGGGGTTTTCATGTGTTGTAAAGTGATAAAAATATAAAAATGATTCTAGTAAATATTAGGTAATAAAAGTGTAAGCTAATTTGGATATCGGACAATAGCATTTTTAGAAGAATTCTTTTTGTTTTGAATTTCATTTATTTATTCACTGCAAGTCAAATAGAAATTTTTTCAGAATATATATATTTTAAACTGTTTAAATAGTTTTTATGGGCTTTTAAATCTTTGCATGGCCTTGCTCTTCCTTACCTCTGTGAGCTACAGGTCTTTACTCCCCTGCACGGTCTCTGAGCTCGGCTGGTAGGATGCTCCTGGAAGTCCCAAAAACAAGACGTTGCAGGTGAGCGGCTCCGGAGAGCGGCCAGCTGCGGTGATTTTCCTCATCCACTACCTGTGTTTATGAGGAGCTGGAGATCACTTCACCTCACCGGAAGATTACTCACTTTGGGTAGCTCTTGCCACTATAGTAAAACTGCAGCTTTAGTCTTTGCCTTGCTATTGTCCGTCGTTGTTGTTGTTTTTGATGACCTCTGCCTTCCCTTCACCACTGACCTACGTTACAATAACCTGGTTTTCATCTCCGAGCCTGATCTCCCTCCTCACCCGAACCGACCCGCTCTCCCACCGCTCACCTCCCTTGGATTTCGGATTATCACTGACGCTGCTCACCCCAGTCCTGGCTACCCTCCCAAGCTCTGGATTTCTCCCCCGCAGTAAGATCCACTACTAACTGAGTCCTCCTAATTCTGTTCCCGTCTGCCCAAACCCTGACAGTGTTTGTCTCAACAGACCCAGCCCCGGAGCTGTGCTCAACATCACCGCCACGTCTGGCGGTGCATCTTTAGTTCCTTCAAAATAAAACATTATTCTTTTCTTACCTACGTCTCCTAGTGTGATTTCTGCATGTCTTGGGTCAGGAAACTTCCCTCAGTCATGTCAGACGTAAGCTCAGAGTTGACCGGGCTGTCGCTGCCGCGGCCCCTCGGCTCTGGAGCGTGCTGTCTGTGAGCATCAGGTCGGCCTCTTCACTGCCTGGTTTTAAATCTCTTTTGAAAACCTATTTTTATGATCTGGCTTTTAACTCGGCATGAGAGTCTTTTTAGTGTTAGTTCTTAAGCTTTCGCTTTTATGCATTTTTATGTTTTTAATGTCTGTGAAGCACTTCGGTCGGTTTCATACTGTTGTAAGGTGCTGCACAAATAAAGTTGGCTTGGCTTGTTTTCCAGCTAAAGTCCAACAAGTGACGCAGTTAACGAGCTGCATAATTAACAGTTTGTAGATAAACCTGTGTGATCCTGTGAGGTGCACAGGTTGATCCTCAAAAAGAGAACGTTGTTTACTTTTCCCTTCAGAATAAAACCAGATTAACTGCTTTATGCTGTGGCTTCATTTAAAGCAAAGCTGTGGATTAATCCATCGTTCCTGTGAGCTCGGCTGTCTCTTTAATAGAGACGCGTCCTCTTACATATTCAATGTGTTGCACTATAGGCTGAATTAGCCAATCAAGAATGCTGTGTGCTGTCATTGGCCGAGCTCCTGAGAGAGCTCTAAACTGTGCTGAGAGGGGGAGGCGGGGGCTCTCCGTCTTCTCTGCGCTCTTCCATTCAACCTCTGTAGTCAGCAGAACGAGAGGCTGAGCGGAGCATCGCAGCATCTCAGCGCCAGCATCCTGCCGAGGACTCTGCTCCACGGAGGAGAGGAGGAGAAAAGAGACTCTGTGCTGCATGGAGGGAAGGACAGAGGAGGACTGGTAGTTGAGGACAGGCAGTGAGGGGAAGGGAAACACAGAGGGGGGTAGAAGTGCTCAACGACAGGACCTGAGTGAACAGAGCTGCCTGAGGACCACTGCAGCTATACTAAATCTGGAGCTGTCAGGAAATCTCAGCATCCAACGCAAAAGAGGAGAAAAGAAGTGTTTTGAGGCGCTGAGCTTATCCCTCTGGATAAGCAGGGATGGGAGTCCCGAGAGCGTCTACATCACCAGATCAAACTTCAAACAACAACTCTGCTGCGGGATCACCAGTTTGAGCCGACCGACTAAAACCAGGACATGTTCCGGTAGTTCCCCGAGCCAAACATCCGCTGTCCCCCCAGCACACCTGCCTGCTCCTGGCGGATGTCTTCTCTGCACGCGCTCCCACTGCTCGGCAGTTGAACACACTCATGGTCGATGCCAAGGGACGGAACATGAAATGTCTGACTTTCTTTTTAATGCTTCCTGAGTCGGTGAAAAGCAAGTCAAGCAAAAGCGCCAAGAAAGGGAGCACCAGCGGCAGCTCCAAGCTGCCCCCAGTCTGTTACGAGATCATCGCTCTTAGGAGCAAGAAGAAGAAGAAGATGTCAGCGGAGATTTTCCCCACCAAGAAGCCAGCATCATCCACCACCACCACCACGGTGCAACAGTACCAGCAGCAAAACCTGAACAACAACAACACCGTACAGAACTGTAACTGGCAGGGACTCTACTCAACGATACGAGAAAGGTACGCATCCTTCAGATTCGTCTTACAGACGTTGGGGTTAGAGTTGGGGTGGGCGCTCCCTCTCTGTTCACACCCTTTTCACTCCTCTGATGAGGACAGCAGACAAGTGTGTTTGATTTGCACAATAAGGCCAAGGATGATCCGCACTAAAAGCCCAATATTTACCTTGGCCAGTCAGTCAAAAGGGCCCCAGCTGTCCAGAACTACATGTGGGCTCTCTGACCCAGCTTTGTTGTCTCTCCAGAACATCATGAAGCTGTTTACCCACCCCTGTGACTGGTTCCATCACTCAATAATGTATGAACACAGCTTTATTGTTGGTCCCATCCTTTCACGGTGGGGGTTCCACTCAGCTTATTGTCCTATTTGTCTGTTTTTGTGGAACAAAAGAGAGAAAAAGCAAAAGGAACCATTTGTTTTAGGTGCTGCGTGGGTTTAAATACAGAGAAACTTTCATTTCAGGGTCCGTACTTTGCATGATTGTAAATTTTCCCAATCTTTCCCTCCTTTCCAGAAACTCTGTGATGTTCAACAATGAGCTGATGGCGGATGTTCATTTTGTTGTGGGCCAACCTGGAAGGACCCAGCAGCTGCCGGGCCACAGAGTAAGCATCTATCAAACCTCCGAGTCACGCAGGAGAAACGCAGCCAAGCCCCGACAAACAAGCAGAGAAACACTCTTCCTCTGAGCCAGCGAGCGTTGTGGGAAGTCTTTTGTGCTCTCCTCTCACTTCCGCACCGTGCATCCTTTTTCAGACAGTCCTCAATTATTTATGCAAATGAGGCTGACGGTGAGAGGAGGGATGTCCTCCTCAGTAGACGGGCTCCTGCTGTACTGCTGCCTCTCAGGAGAAAGCATTTCTATAAAACAGTCCACCTTATATTTGAAAACGTCTTTGACCTTTGACCTGGATGCTTGACTAAAGACATCAGATCACCGTTAGCTTAAATCAGTTACTTCTAAAAATAAAATAGAAGCACTTTCCTCCCCATTTTAACAACTTGACATGAATTTGGCCCGAGCAAATTTCAAATCAGCTCCACGTTGGTCTGTTTCAAAAATGTTCTCTTTATGTGAAACCTTAATGAATTATTTATGGTTGGTAGCTGCAGTGCACCTCGTCCATTTGTGGAAGGGTAAATTAGCTTTTTATGGCGAGACACGGCGCCAACGGGGCTTAAATGGGTTCAGCATCCTTAATTGTTCCTGGTTTGCAGGAAATTACACGCATCGTTATTAATTTTCCTGTAAGTTCATTCTGAGACAAAAACAGTGGCACGCATTACATTTTTATGAATTTGTTATGAGTCATACGGTGAGGCCTGTTTGATTCTGCTACTGGTCTCTAAATGCACATAAAAATAATTGTCTCTCAGCTGATTTTGTTCAATAAAATCTCATCAAATATTTCACAAAATTAGATTTTTACATCAAACATCATCAACAAAGACAGTTTTAATTTTTTACCTGCTTTCCTGCTCTTAAAAGTCATTTCTTTGGAGACTTTGCACACACTAAGATCCAAAACCCGAGTTAGCACCAAAGTACTTATTCCAGGCAGCATAAAGCGCCCATTAATGAAATTGTGCTTCATCTTATTTCATCACAATCTAAATAATTAATTCCAGTAAACCGAACTTCTGCTGCACTATATGCAGTCACTAGAAATCTGCCTTCCTGCCCTCGGGGGAAATAAAAAGTGTCTGAGCACGGCGGAGGGAATTAGAGGCTAAAGAACACCGTACAAGCTTTGTTCAGCACTCACTCAACATTTGTGCTGCTATGTGAAATGAAAGCACCACATGTTCATTGACTTGGCTTATTACAATAGTTACACGGTAGGACAAATATCTGTTTTCGTTTGACATCAGAAATGTTCTTGCCTCTTAAATGTGCATTTATGGAAAAGGAAGTGAATTAATATCAGCCATAGTTATTAAAATTACAAATGTTTACACATTTTCATCCAGCTTAGGCCACAGAAAAGCTTCACAGATGTTTCATCACTCGCCTTCGGATGAACGCTAAGGGTTTTACATGCTCCTCCTGATTTTGGACCCCTTTGCTTTTAACAAAATCTCTGTTGTTTTTTAAGTGAGGCAAAACCAAGATCAAGCTCTAAACCATAGAAAATCATACATCAACAGAAAGTTTTGGACCCATTAGAGATGTATTTGCTTGCCGATGAGCAGGAAGGAGTTCTCCTGAAGCAGAAATGTGTTTGTTCTGCAGCTTCTCTTGTAGCTCTGTGCACTATAAGAAAGGAAACGTTGAATTTACTTAACCAAATCCTGCCTAAAGCCAACCTTTTCAAAGTAAAAGCCTCCCATTCAAGATTTTTTAAATAAATTGAAATCAGATTTATATTATTTTCTAGTTTTGTTTACATATAAATGTAAAAATGTCCTTTTTTGTTTTAGATGAATAAACTCTCTCTCCCTCCTCCCCAGTATGTATTAGCAGTGGGCAGCTCCGTGTTTCATGCCATGTTTTACGGGGAACTTGCTGAAAACAAGGATGAAATCCTCATACCAGATGTGGAACCAGCAGCATTTCTGGCAATGCTTAAGTAAGCCTTCCCTTCCATTTTAAATCAAAAGCTTTTTTAACATCTTTTCCTTCAACACTGGGTTAGTCAGACATACAGCGTAAGTGTTTTTTACATGACGAACATTTTAAGTACTCTGATATTTGGTATTTTGATATTGCTGCAGTAAAATATGGATGCTATTAATATTTTACTATTAGTATGGTTCCACACACACACACACACACACACACACACACATATATATATATATATATATATATATATATATATATATATATATATATATATATATATATATATGTGTGTGTGTGTGTGTGTGTATATATGTATATATATATATATATATATATATATATACATATATATATACATATATATATATATATGTGTATATATATGTATATATGTGTATATATATGTATATATATATATGTATATATATATATATATATATATATATATATATATATATATATATATATGTATATATATATTTATATATATACATATATATACATATATATGTATATATATGTATATATGTATATATATATATATATATATATGTATATATATATTTATATATATACATATATATACATATATATGTATATATATGTATATATGTATATATATATACATATATATACATATATATGTATATATATATACATATATATACATATATATGTATATATATATATACATATATATATATATATATATATATATATATATATATATATATATATATATATATATATATATATATATATATATATACAGGTCAAAGTTAAAAAGTTAAAAAGTTCTGTAAATTCGTCCATGCTTTATTGTCTCTTTTAATATAATCATTATATTTTTACATCTTATCACAATATTAGCCAATCCACGCGTTGTGAAGGCTGAACATGTCACATTTCTATCTCAACAGGTACATCTACTGTGATGAAATCGACCTGACTGCTGACACCGTGCTGGCTACTCTTTATGCTGCTAAGAAATACATCGTCCCTCACCTGGCACGTGCCTGCGTCAACTTCCTGGAGACGAGCCTGAGTGCTAAGAACGCCTGCGTGCTGCTCTCCCAGAGCTGTCTGTTCGAGGAGCCCGAGCTGACACAGCGCTGCTGGGAGGTGATTGATGCCCAAGCTGAGCTGGCGTTGCGTTCAGAGGGCTTCTGCGACATTGATGCGCAGACCCTGGAGAGCATTCTGCAGCGAGAGACGCTCAACGCTAAAGAGATCGTGGTTTTTGAGGCTGCACTTAGCTGGGCTGAGGCGGAGTGCCAAAGACAGGAGCTCACAACTTCAACTGATAACAAGCGTAAAGTTTTAGGCAAGGCCATGTTCCTGATACGTATCCCAACAATGGCTCTGGATGACTTTGCAAATGGAGCAGCTCAGTCAGGCGTGTTGACACTTAATGAGACAAATGACATCTTCCTGTGGTACACGGCAGCGAAAAAGCCCGAGCTGCAGTTTGCCAGTCAGCCCAGGAAGGGTCTGACGCCCCAGCGCTGCCACAGGTTCCAGTCCTGTGCCTACAGAAGCAATCAGTGGCGCTATCGGGGCCGCTGTGACAGCATTCAGTTTGCTGTGGATAAAAGAGTTTTCATCGCTGGCTTTGGTCTTTATGGATCCAGCTGCGGCTCAGCTGAGTACAGTGCCAAGATAGAGCTGAAGCGTCAGGGCATCCTGTTGGGACAAAACCTCAGCAAGTACTTCTCGGATGGATCCAGCAACACCTTCCCAGTGTGGTTCGAGTATCCGGTCCAAATAGAGCCGGATACATTCTACACCGCCAGCGTGGTTCTGGATGGAAACGAGCTGAGCTACTTTGGGCAGGAAGGGATGACGGAGGTGCAGTGTGGCAAAGTGACCTTTCAGTTCCAGTGCTCCTCAGACAGCACCAACGGCACCGGGGTGCAGGGAGGACAGATCCCCGAACTCATCTTCTACGCTTGACAACACCTGCTAAAACAGGAATGTATCACCCCGTGGACGGTGTCCGGCACTGATGTTTATTTTTGTCACAACTAGATCCTAGAGCTTTTAGAAAACGGCCCCCTCGAGCTGGACCAGAGAAATGTTTCACGATGCTGAATCCTTTAGTCCGAGAGGCCGAGTCTAACGTTACAAGAATATATTGCACTAGATGTGCGTGTAAATAGGAACACGTGTAAATTCTCTAATGTACAGATGTGGCGGCCATGCAGGCCGTAAAAATACCTTCTATAATAAAGATGCTGCAGTATGTTTATCGTTTCTATGCTTGCATAGAGGGCACACATAGAGCAGCAATACTTCACATCCTGTACTCAGTGCTGATCATTTCATGCCTTCACTCAGACTGGACCATATGAGGCGTCATGGAAGAGAAAAATGGCCACGATGACTTTCAGAACCATGAATTTCTTCTTGTATCTAATAGTTTTGATTTACAGTGGCTTCGGTTGAATTTGCAGCTTTTTGATTTCTTCCTATTGAAGCTTTAAGGAGGTCTGGAGCACTAAACATCGTGACTCGTGCAACTTCCTCCGGCCTCTAACGTGTTGCACCTACATCTTTTAGTTCATTCGAGGCCTCAGAGAAAGCACGAGCTGCTTCTCTGCTGCTGTTTTGGATTCATAAGGACAGTGGCGGTTCTACATGGAATTACTCTCCGGGCAAGGCATCCCTTGAGCGCCTCGCTATTCTCCTCTTCACACACACGGTGCTCGCCTGAACCCTCTCAGTGAGCAGGAGCGCATGCAGCTGCAGGGGGCGCCAATGTGCTGGTTCCAATCCAGACAGTGATGTCTGGCAGATACCGTAATTTCCGGACTATAGAGCGCACCTCAATATAAGCCGCACCGGGCTAAAAGCCGCAGATATCTACTGAATTGAAAACGTAGTTTAACTGAACGTAACTGGACTGATCGGTATCAAGCAAAACAGAAAAGTTATTGATTAGTTTATTCATCGTCCTCCTGCACACTGAAACCACTGAAGTCTTCTTCTTCTTCAGTGTCGGAGTTGAACAGCCTCAGAAGAGCTTCGTCACATACCTTTTCTGTGGCGATGTCCGTGTCGCTGTCCGTGTTGCTGTCATCATCCCGGGAGAAGCTGGCTTGAATGAGTTCTTCCCGCTGCCGTCTCCAGCGCCGAACCATGGATTCATTCATGCCAAGCTTACATGCGGCAGCACTGTTTCCCTCCTTTACTGCCAGATCGATGGCCTTCACCTTAAATGCTGCATCATATGAACTCATACGTGTAGGTACCATGATGAGGGGGGATGGATTTGAAACAAATTCTTCGTGGTGCCGGCTGCTTGCATGTGCTAAATTAAAATGAGCACTTTCTTCCATTTCCACTTGGACTTCCACCTGTTTCACTTCCTGCTAAAGCGCCCCCTAGTGGCAGGAGAAGGAAAATCTTCAGTAAAGCCGCACCTCATTATAAGCCGCATGGTTCAAAGCGTGGGGAAAAAGTAGCGGCTTATAGTCCGGAAAATACGGTATTTGTTGCATCACAGGTTTCTTTTTTTTTTTTTTTTTTACTCAGCGATTGTGCGCCCCCTTTGTGTCATGAAAAAATGCTGCCCCGGGTAGCCGCCCGGTCCGCCCGTGCCTAAAACCGCTACTGCATAACGAGAAGAAAACAAGAAAAAGAAACTTGATGTTTGCTTAAGATAATTTTTTTTGTTGGTTTTGAAGGAGACTGGATGTGAGCGGGGGACAAAACCAACTTATGCTAATCACATTAGATTATAATGAGGTGACTCGTGAGTTGTTTTGGTTCTGGTTTGGCTTCTTGCTGTTGAACAGGATAGGAAATAAGACCAGATACCCCAACAGAAAGGAAAATAAGAGCTCTATTTGAGTTTTTGTCCTCCACTGAATAAAAACCATAAGTAACATAAGATCCTCATCTGTGCCCCAGACAAGCTGGTTCCCAAAGTCAGAGACTCTCTTGGTCAGCTTGCTTCTCACACCAAACCTTCTGTCAGGAATCTTAGTGTGACCTTTGACCCAGCTCTCACCCTGGATTCTCATGTCAGTTCTCTTGTTGGCTCTTCCTTCTTCCATCTCAGGAATGTTGCTAAGCTGAGTCCCATTCTGTCTCGCTCTGAACTTGATACAGTTCTCCACACCTTCATCTCCTCACGCTTAGACTACTGTAACTCTCTTTTCACGTGTCTGAGCAGAACCTCCCTGAACCGTCTACAGGTGGTTCAGAACGCCTGTGCTCGGCTTCTGACCAAGTCCTCCAAACACACCCACATCACCCCGCTTCTCCTCCAGCTTCACTGGCTGCCAGTCAACTTCAGGGTTCATTTCAAGATCCTGGTTCTGGTCTATAGGGCCTTACATGGACAAGCACCATCTTACATTGGTGATCTTCTTAGTCCCTACACCCCCAGCAGGTCCCTGAGGTCCAGTGATCAAAGCCTACTGGTTGTGCAGCACCAGGCTAAAGGTCAAAGGTGACAGATCATCTGCTGCTGTGGCCCCCAGACTCTGGACCTCTCTCCCCCTGAGCCTGAGATCAGTGGACTCAGTGGTCTCCTTTAAAAAGCAGCTGAAGACTCACTTGTTCAAGCTGGCTTTTGTATGACCTTCTTCACCTCTCTCTCTTTATTCTGCTCTCCCCACCTATTCCACCTTCCTCAGGATCCACTGATTTCCCTCCTTCCTATTAATTTATCTTTCCCTTTCCTCACATTTTTTATCCACGTTATTTATTTATTTTGATTGTAAACACATTTTTCAATCTTTCTTTTTAAAATCTTTTTGCAGTTTTTGTTCTTGTGAAGAGCCTAACGACGCCGCGTAAAAGATCGTTTTCTTTCTTTCTTTCTTTCTTTCTTTCTTTCTCTCTCTCCATCCATTCTGTGCATACACTTCAGATCACATTACAAAAAAATGCCTGCTGATGTTTTGAGAGATCTAATGAAATTAAAAAATCATTCACCAAATTCATTATTTAGGTAGAATAAAAGACTTCTAGTGTAATTTATTTCTACCTGCCTCCGCCGGAGCACTAGCAGACCGCTTCCATTCCATCTGACATGTACTACTAATTATTCTGGCGCCTCGGTTTTGTTTACAGAGAAAAAGATCAATGAATCAGAGTTAGAAGCTGCTGTTTATTTGAGGGACTTTTACTTCTCTTTGTGCACTTCCTCCAAAAGCGATCAAACACTTTTGGTAGTTGCAGAATCCCACCGTACGTGTCACACACTTGCACTGGTGTCGCGAACAAGTTGGGTTTTTTTGTTCATGATTTGGGGAATTATTATGATGCTTGTTGTTTTGGACAGTCTCGAGCACTGGATGGTAACAAGTAGGTAAAATGGTGTTTGTGCCCTGTGTTTAAGAGCTGGAAGAGCCGACGAATGTGTGTGTATGGTTGTTGATGATGCAAATAAACTAAAGTTGTATACACTCACTGTGTATTGCATCTGTGAACAGCCACCAGGATGTACACCGCTGCGTGTGAGGCATGAGGAGATGAGGACAGATGTTGCCCTTCACTGCTGTAGTGATTTATAATATGAAACAGAGCCGTCTGCTGATTGATGGTCTTTGTCTTTCTTGGTGTCACTGTTACAACCTGCCTTTTTCTGTCAAACACAAATGATCCATTCAATTCAGTTTAGGCCCTTTTGTCCTCAGCATTCATCTTTAGAATACATCAACATAATTTTTAAAGTTGTTTTTGCAAAACCAGGAAAAAGGAGCATGAAAACAGCTGAATGTTTTCTCCAATACCTCACATAAAGAGGAACAATTAACTCCTTCCATTGATACATGAGCACCTAAGGTGCCATTTTGCTTCAACAAAAAATGTAATGAGGAAAATAAAAGCTAAGAAATGAAAAGGATGCTTTGCTACTTTTTTGACATTTTTAAGTCATTTTCTTGACCCAGTACTTGCCAAAAGGACCTTTACAGGGTTAATGGAAGGCCGCTCAGACCGCCCCCCCCCCCCCCCCCCCCCCCCCCCCCCGTGGTCACAATGCCGGTCTGTGGGAGTTAGGCAAATCTGAGGTGACATACCTGCAGTCTGCTTCCAGCATGTTTCCTGCATGCTTTAGATCATGAGCACAGCTGATTTGTTTAATTTAGTGATGAATCACTCCTGCAGACACTAATGAAGGCTGGGGAGACATTTCAGATGTTAGGATAAAAAGACGAATGCACAGCGAGAGATAAGTTTCGCTTTCGGTTCTACTAAACAGACACTAGGGGGTGCTAAAAGCAAGCCCAAACTGCCTAGTCGGTGGCACAGGAGTTAAGTGCTCGCCCCGTAATCAGAAGGTCGCAGGTTCAAGCCCCACTGTCATTGTGTCCTTGGGCAAGACACTTAATCCATGTTGCCTGCTGGTGGTGGTCGGAGGGACCGGTGGCGCCAGTGCTCGGCAGCCTCGCTTCTGTCAGTGCGCCCCAGGGCAGCTGTGGCTACGTTGTAGCTCATCCCCACCAGTGTGTGAATGGGTGAATGACTGATTGTGTTGTAAAGCACCTTGGGGGGTTCCAGGACTCTAGAAGTCGCTATATCAAATACAGGCCATTTACCATAATCTCCCTTTAATCTTGTCTCCTTTACAGCCCAAGCAGCTATTTCTCCACAAGCCAGAAATGGAGTCCTCCTCATTCAATAATGTAAACAAAAGCCATAAAAAACAATGTACCCTTCAATTTTGTTAAATGTCAATGTAATTTGCCCTTTTTTCACAAAATATATTCACATTTGTGCTTCCTGCATACAAGCTCCGTTGAAAATCAATTTGCCCAAACTATGATAAAAATTTACACCATTTGACCCAAATACTGACATTTCTAATTTGAGAAAGGAGCATTAGCATTCATTACGTGTAAAAAACATTGATCCAAAAAACACATGATTCTGATCACTTTAACTATAACAAAATAAATAATCTTTAATATGAGCGACCAGAAAAAATGACAGAGCTCCAAGCAGACGTCTCAATTACAGAAAAACAGTTTTAATGCCCTTAAGGTTTAGAACAAATGTAGAAGTCTACAGATCTCTCCCACTGTGGTTGGCTCTAAAGGTCTTAAGACTGACTTAAAATGTTGCATCCTTTTTTTCTAGTATGATGCATTAAAGTTTCAACACAAGGAGAAAAATGTTATTATAAACTCAAAGCTTTATATGTTGAGTTGGAAGTGCACCGCTGTTGCAGTTTGACCTAGATTTGTCCCAATTAAATAAACAAAAACACAGAAAGAAAGAAAACGGCAGAAGAAGAACAGATTATTTATTATTTACATTTTTTCTGCATAATAGCCTTCAGGAAATTAAATTAGCAATCACTGTTATTATCATGTTTAAGTAAAAACAACAACAAATGATGTAAAACAGACTTTTCTAATTGTGTGAAAAACCAAGAATCCTTAAACACATTGAAAGAGATTTGAACCCCCCAAAAGTGCATCTACTGTGTTCTCTGGGCTCATTTTTCTTTATAGCACATATGAACATACTCAATAGTGCTAATGTGACATTGCCAGTGAGTGTAAAGCCCTTGATAAATTGATCTCAAGGTGTTGAGGGAGGGAGAAGGTCACTCTAACTTGCTCTGGAGTGATTTTTCATGAATGTGGCACTAATGCTGTAATCAGGATCATTAGCTGCACTGGAGGTGGTGAGGTCTGCTCTTAAATGCAGAGGCCACTGTGTAATCAGCATTTGTGTCACTTTTGATGCACGACTAAAACTCCAACCCACCGGTGGTATATTTTCTCCTTTTTGTGCACGTAAAATTATTTTCTAATTGATCACTTTTCGGCTTCGCAGGCAGTTGATTGGGGAAATCCATTTATTACTTTTTTATTATTTTTAAAGTTCAATGAAAAGATAGATAGATGGATATAATCCTATTGTCCACACTAACTACTGTAATTGTTACTTTCATGTTCATTTTCCCAAGTTTTTTTGTTAAACTATATGAAACTAAATCCACCGCAGGTTGTGTGAGGGCTCATTGTCCAAAATGTTCTGATGGTGTTCCTCAAGGCTCAGTCCTTGGGCACACTTTGTTTTCCTTATTCATCAACACTGGCCAACTCGTGTCAGAGTGAACATTCTCAAATGTATGCAGATGATGCTGTGATTTTCCACTCTTGCTAAAAGCATACACAAAGCTGTTTGTATTCTTTCACACAGATCTGGCTCAATGCTAATAAAACTGAAGGATGTTGGCAAAACAGGCGCACACACTATGATGATCAACCCCTTTACCTAAATGGTAAACGGTGCATCAGGACACATAATTGACTCCATGCTCTTAAGAGTCAGGCCAAAAAGGTCATTAATGTTGAGTTTAGGCTGCAAAATTGTAGGAATTTGTGATTCAGCATGGATATGAATGCAACCATAACATTCACGGAGGGGAGAAGGTAACATGAAAAATACAATAGCTGGTTCCTCTCAATCATTGTGACTCTTTCAGGACTTTACAAAGACGTCTGCATATGTCGACTGTTTCAGCAGTGAGTGATCTAACTGATTCACTTCCACAATCATTAATGACATTAAAAGTTTTATTCTGTCAAAATACTTTGTAATTTAATCTAATCAGGGGACCGGGTGAGCAGCTATGTAGCGTAAAACGTAGTTTGATAACTCTGTAGGAGATCAGAAAGCTATGTGAATTACAGCATTTTGAGGGGATTTCTGCTTCATTTTTCATCATTGGGTGTTCAGAAACATCAGCGTTGCTCATTTCCTCTTCCTTCCATTCTGCTTCAAGAGCAACTCTTCCAATTTTACAAATGTCGAGTGTTTGGTGATATCTGCTGATGTAATTTCCCACTGAGCTACAACCAATCATGATGACTTGACCACAAGCCCCGCCCATTGACAATACTGAGTATACCCTTTTCTGAGTATACCCCAATGCAGGTTCTCAGTTGGCCCCTTAAATGGTCCAGAAAGTGGTACTTTTGAGCTGGCCCATTGAAATGCCGATATGTGCGTACCACGAAGGTCCGGTAGTGGAAACTGCCCCATTGGTCCTATCTCTAACAAATGCAGCTCCTTCACTAATGATAACCTTTTGCCTTTTCAAGGGGCTGCACAGGGTACATTCTGGATCTGAGAGCTACCCAAGTCTCTAATAGAGATGACCATTCTACCGTACACAGTCAGACCACCTTTAGTCAGATGGTTCAGTCTGCTGAAAGTAATCTCTGGAACAACCTACCATCCAATCAGGGAACTTTCAAAATTCACTCAGAGAGATAGCTAAGAGTCTTGGCTGAAATGCCTTTATTTGTGTTGCATGATTTGTGCAAAACATTTTCTGCCAAGAAATTTAAATAAAAAATGAAATTTCATTAATAATAACTGTGACATAGATCTCTTTCCCAGTAAGTGAATATAGCCTTCTAAGGCTCAGGAGATAAAACCGAGAGAAAAGGGGCTTGGTGAGTTGAGTCAGACTGATATTACCCGAGAATGTCTTGGAGTGAAATAACTGCTCAGCACAAATTAAGGATGAGTGGATTCAGCTTGACTTGATGGAGGAATTGCTGCTGTTCCACTCCCTTAAGGCTCTCCAAGGTTGATCGTTTCAAGTGTGCAGCAGTGACCAAAAGGTCAGCGGCTGTTTAAAGGAGACCAGCTGTGGGAAAGTCGATGTGGCATGCTCATGGGAGATGTTACAATGAAACTGTGTCACCTTTATCCACACAAACCGAATCAAAACAGCCACTTGCAAATATTGTACTTCAATTCAATTCAATAATACTTTATTAATCCCAGAGGGAAATTAGAATTTCAGTACACACAATTCTGAGACCAGCCACACATACATACATGACAAGAATTGGTGACTGCGGTCGTTCGCAACCCGAGTCGCGCTACCGTAATAGATCAAGAGGGCTTATATGAGGATAGAGTCGGGGGAGGGAAAAAAGGCACTTCAGAGTTACTCTCACCCGAGAGGGGAGCGTTGCTACGCAAAAATATATATATATATCACACATCTTCAGCTCTACATCCTAATAATTTCCATCCCAGCAAAATGTTAATGCATTAATAATGACCAGTGAGAGGAGGGAAACACAACTTTGGGTGTAGAAATTTCATCAAAGAAAATAATTAAAAAATGTGATTTTTAATTCAACCTCAAGCTCACCTCAAAGGAAATCGTTCCCCTCGTTCTTTTTCTCTTTTCCCCCTGAAGCTGAATTTTTAGCCTGCATAAACAGGACAGTGTTAAAAGTGCAGGTAACATTTCACATTATACCAATAACTTTCCTGGAAATAATAACTATGAAAGCCTTTGACAGTGTTTTGTGGAATTTACTGATTGGCAAGGTTTAACGTAATAATACAGTCAATTCAACGCAAGTACAGCAAGGCTGCAATACTCAGATGCAGTTTTGCTGTCTTATGAGTACACTGGTGTGAGGA